ATCCAAGCCATTCAAGTCTTCCTAACCAAATTTAAATTCTTCGTGATTTTTTTCTCCGCGATCCATATCTAGTGCATGAGTGAGGTGAAGGGACAAATGTTTCTGAATACCCCCGATTGCTTTTAATATTTTTAGAACAGGTACGACGTTTCGATGACTTCAGAATTATTGCACCAATGATCGAAACTTCGTACCTTTTTCTGAAAAATATTCTTGTAATAAAATCATATTAATTTTAAGATTCCTAACTCTAAAACCTATTGTAATAAAATAATACTTATAATTATACTATTATACTATTAACTAAAAATTAATATTTTAGAAGTAGTGGGTGAATTGCCATGGACACTGGGTCAAATTATTCTATTATAGATAAAAGAATAATTTCTGATATTTCTAAATCTTGTACTGTGTTGTTGATAAATTTGTATCTTATCCTTGTGGTGATATGATTGTTTGATACGTTATAATATATAAGTATATAAACAATAAAGTTGCATAAATATAAAATTAAATGACTGAATTTGGCCTATGTTAGTATTGTGAATAATTGCAAAAAATAAATACTAACAACAAGTTCAAGTAAGCTCATACAAAGAGAAAACGTAAAAATACATTCCACAATAAGATTAGCTTCACCTCTCGTCTCATATATTCAAAATATTCATTTGGAAAGTTTTCCGTAATGCTGAGAAACGAAAAAGTTTTAACATTAAATGCTTTTTCAATAATACTAGTTCTGGATGACTTTGACATGTGCTGAACTATTCGATACTAGCGACACTCTCTGGGAGTATTCTTCATCCTAACAGTGTTTAAATCCAGTAAGTTATGAACCAAAAAATAATTAACATTAACTTCTTATCCAAGAAAGCTATATACATAAATACATAAGAATTACTCCAAATCAGAATGTATATAAAATATGATACAGGTCTATGCATTATCATTAGATGACAAAGTCCTAGCTTGTGCAATTTTAAAAATTACAAGTATATTGAATATCTGCTTTTGATAAATAAGTTTAACATAAAAAGAAAAAGTTAACAAAGTTTGCCTACCGGTGGCATTAGAGTAAGTATGAATGCTTATAGCGCTGACAATCGGGTTCTGATATCTGCTTTGGGCAGAGCACAGATAGCCCATTGTGTAGCTTAGTCCTTGTAACAATAAACTAACCAACTAAAAAGGAGACAATTTGAAGATGACAGAAAAGTCAATATCTACATGCCCTGCAACTATACAGTTTCGTTTAAAATTAAGAGAGATACATGATGCACAATACAAAAATCACTAGAATTTAAAAACAGCAATCTTTTCTATAATGAAAAGTACAGTTGTATATGTTATCATTTTTACTATTAAATTAAACAAAATATCGACTTATTTTGGCAATAAGCCTACTGGTAATGGCAGCCATGGCCAGTGTGATAGTGTAGTGCTTGTGTGGTTGAAAGTTGAAGTTGTAATGCATGTTCAACGTTAATAGTAAAGGGTTAACATGCATTTTCGTACTCGACCAGAAACAAACTCTGGTACGGTAAATACTTCTCTGTCATAAACACAACTCTTGTTCACGAGAGCAAAAATGGACTCAAGTTCAATTTAAAAGTTAAAGATACTATGTCTACTAACACAGACTAGTCTCAACTACTTATAACATTAAATATATTGTATAAGTACAAGTCATAACTAATAAATATAATAGGACTTGGCTATGCTTTATCAAACACTGAAACAGTGATTGAAACAACTCTATGACTGGACCACGAAAATAATTTTGATCATGACTGAAAGAAAAACCAAATTTTTGATTGGAGTGCTAAAAATAAGATACCTTATAAGTTGTAAGGTAAGTTAACTAGGCAATAATTTAACATTTTTAGGTAATATAACACTACTTGTACTGTGAACACTGATATTGGTAGTGACTGTATACACTATAGTCACACAGATGTACACTAGCCCAAACATCCTTTTTCCTTTTACAGTTTGACACTATGTACCATAACATGAACATTAAAGAAGAATTTCTGTATGAGGTCTAATACTACATCTAAAATCAGGCAGATTCTAGTGATATCTCTCAGTTGCATGAAAATTATGGTAAAATGTTGATAATCAAATACTTTTTAATGTAAAATTTAAGGACAGAAAAGGGTTTGATGGTCCATCTAGGCTGTCCCACCCACTAAACTAATGCTCAAAGCCAGCCCTTATCATTTAAATATTTAACAAGCCTCCATTTAAAGTGTTGACTAAGGTGACTCATAACCTGCCAATATTTATATTTGTGTACTCTTGTCTTACCATTGTTGCAATTAAGTGTGAAAAAAAAAGATCATGCATATAAACTATCAGTTTCCTGAAAAATATTAAACACCCCAGTCTGATCCACTCTAACCCTTTTTTCAAAAGAAATCAAGTTCAGAAATCTTAATATGTTGTTGTATGATAACCTTTACATCCAAATGTAGTCCTGGTGGCCCTCCTTTGAACCCTCACCAATAATTTAGTCTTCTTAAAGTAAGGAGCCCAAGATTGAACAACAGTACCCCAAATGAGGCCTAACTACTGACCTATACAGTGAAATTGCAACCTCATTAGACTTTTATTCATTATTTCTGTAGATACAACCTAAAATTCTATTTGCCCTACCACTAGCAAAAGCATACTGATTAGAAGGCTTAATAGTGATGAAGCAATACACTAAGACCCTTTTCTTTCATAACTGTTAAGGTTATTCCCATGAAAATTATGCCTGTAATTCAAATTATGATAACCCATAGGCATTGCCTTGCATTTACTATAACCAAAAGCCATCTGCCATTTATTTACCCAACTCACCAAATTATCTAAATCCTTTTGTATAGTGGTAGCATTCTCCTCACAGCCAGCAACATCCAGGACTTTAATATCATCAACAAATTTAAGTAAAGTAGAGACCATCTCTTCATCTATGCCATTGGTTTAAATAAGAAAAATAGAAAAGGTCCCAATACTGAGTCTTGAGGTACTCCACTTGTAACATTAATCAAGTTTGAGTGAGCTCCATTTATAACAACACTATGTTTTATTCTATTGAGCCACTTTATACCAACTTATACCTCATACGTATAAAGATTATTTTGTTGAACAAGGCCTTTTACATCAAATGCTTTCTGAAAATCCACACTCTTATCTATATTAACTATAACCTCTTTAAAGAGTGACTTAAAATTAATAAAGCAAGACTTTCCCCTACTGAAACTATGTTGACTATCCAATAAAAATTTAAACTTTGTTAAATGACTTTCATAAAATTTGTCCATCAATGATATAAAACTAACAGACCTGTAATTACCTGGACACTTTTTTTCACATTTCTTAAAAATAGGGTTAAATTAGTCAACTTCTAATCCTCTGATACATTCCAACTATTCATTGACTTAAAAACATATTGGCAAGTGGCTCACATATCCAATTCTTAACCTCCTTTGAAACCTTTAGGGAAGTGTTGTCATTGGGTGACCATATTGACACCAAATTTAGTGTGGACACTCGATCAGTATAGTTCATTTTGGAGTTGAACTTCCACCTTCAAACTGTCCACCAACTCTGACCTCCAAGTAACTGAATTTCAGGGGAATGTTGCCACTCCCAGCCTCTCTTTGAAGCTGTTGAATAGTTTTGCTGGTTCAGTGATAAAACATGGCATAATTCTGTAATATGTCACTGAATTGTGTATATAATAGGAAAAATATATTTCAAAATTTACTACTGTATATTTTGATCTAACTTTCCACTGGCTTAAAATAATTTCATTTTTTTATGAATATATGTTTGATAATAACTTACCCTCTCCCATAAGAACTTCAATCTTGAAATAATTAATAGTGAAATAGTGTTTTGTTAAACAATTATTAGGACTCTAAACCTTTTTAGAATTAATATATAAGCATAGAAACTAGTACATATGAAATAGTACATCAATAATGATAACTTTCTCTGAAAGTAGAAAGAAATCTTGATTGCAATGATACACTTTGTACTAAATGGTGTTAAAGTATATGTATTGATTATTTTAGTAAAACTTGTATCTGAAAAAAACAATAGATAATGAAGAATGATCTGGCTGAAACATTATTGTAATTCTAAGAAGTTAATGAGTGAAAGTAACAAAGAATGTGTTATATATGTAGAATTATACAAGAAATTATACATTAAAATACTTTTATTTTTGACCTTTCAGCCCTCATATTGATGGTATTGTTCAGTCCATTGTCAAAAGCTTGCAAATTAAAGAAAAGTATTGTAACAGAGAGAACAGTCCATGTATAATTCTACATGTTAATTTACCTACGTTATGAGTCTTAAAAAACAAAAAATTTGTTATAATATGACAATCATACTATATTTGCTATATGTAGTGCCAACAAGGGCTTTTGCCCTGTACCAGGATTCATCAGGCTGGTTAGCATATGACAGACATAGTAGTTAATGTTATGGTGTGAAGTAGATGAAGTTAGATAATTTTAATTATTATAAATTTTATTTAAATCATTTACAGATCAGATGATGGAGCATCACTGATTTATTAATACATGAATACTAGTGTGTTTCAACCGCAGCTCCTGCATATTTTAATATGAAAATATCTTTAAAATAAGATGTTTTAGAATGCTGAATATCTACAGGTGGTGTAATACATATATAGTTTTTGTTTTTAAAGACTTTTCATAGTCGTACTCTACACACACTTGAGTAAGTAAAAGATAAATATTATATGTATATCAAATACAACAACAATAAAATGTAATGGTAAATAAAGACATAAGGGAAACATTTGAAAACTAAACATAAGAAGTAATACAATAAGACAATGGCATTAATATGAAAATCTTACAAAAATGGTCACTGACACTATTTGAAATGTTTTTTGTGATTTTATTTAGTGTTACATATATATAATTAAATATAGATAGATAGAAAAGGAAAATGTTTTATGTATAACTAACACTTTTGAAAATATTCTAGAACAGCTAATTACCAATGAAGTACAATATGTCAGGTGATGTTGAAGAGAAAAGATGTACCATTAAGCTGACTGAGGAAAAGCAAGAAGAACAAGTAACATTTGATAAATATGAGATTACTGATAATTCTGTTAAACAAACTACATGTATATCTAAAAAACAACTGAAGAAACAAGCAAGACATGAAAAGTGGTTACAACAAAAACCTATTAGAAGGTAAGAAGAACTAAAGTTTATAGTCCTCAGAAGCTTTGATCAGGTTCCATATATGAATATCCCATTCATGATGGTTTTTTAATTTTTGTTGATATGGAATACTGTTGTATGAAAAGTTTTTTAATGTACACAAGGGATATGCTTAGTAATATATTTATTGGCTACAGAACTGATTAACCAGATTCAAATATCTAAATAGTAAATTTGTCATTAAAACAAAAAGAAAGAGAAAAATTATCAACTTTCCAGGGCTAAAATTGGAAGAAAAATTTATATTATGTGGGAACCTGATTTTTCTGTAAACTTCTGAAAAACCTTCAGCCTTTCTTGAACACCTGAAAATAAATACTACACCAAACATTTGAACTTTGCTATTTTCCCCCACCAAAACACAAGCCATAGAACTAAAAATAGGTTTTGAAGACCTAGGTGAAGAATTAATAAAAAAAAAATATGAAAACAAAAACACTAACATTAAACTAACTAAAAACAATGCAAATAACAAGCACAAACCTAACCTTCATGTTTTACCTAAAGAATCTAAACAGAAAACTTGTGTCCCATCAAAACCAACTAAAGAACCCTTAACTTCATTTTCAGAAGAATTTTCAAAATAAACTACATTCATTCTAAACAACAAAAACTTAAAAACAACCTAATAAAACATGAAATCTCTGCACTGAAAGTATCAAAGAAATATGAAGATATTTTATTATCTAAAGCAGATAAAGGCAATACAATTGCAAACATAAATTGAGTAAAATACAACACATTTGACATAATAAATGACAAAGAAAAATTTACAAAATTACCAAAAAGCCTGAACAAAAGATATGAAAAACTAAATCTCAGAAACACTAATTCTAGAATACCACAAATATGTAGAAGTTTAAAAATAAACATAAACCAAATTATCAGATCAATTATTTTTATATATGTATTATTCAGCTATAAGCTATCAATTATCCCTTGCTGTTGTTTTCAGATGTGACATGGTAGTATACAAAGTAAGAACATTCTCATACAAAGGCATAATTATTTCACAGTTGAAAGTTTCAGTAAAATATTAAGCATATCTGTAAAGGTTTGCAACATTTTATTTTAATAACACATACAAAAGCTAATTATTCCATTAAGTTATTTTGTATCATTCATTGAAATTTATAAAAAATAAAAACTTTAAACTTTCATCTCTTAAGCCTATAAAATTTATATTATATAGAGAAAGATATAAAACTGCTAATGTTTGAAATTAGGAAAGTTTTTATGCATAAAAAATGTATGAATTATTTAACTGAAGTAAATGATCATTAATGCTGCTTACTTCATTACACACCCTGTACATTTCTGTCAACACAAAATTGACTGAAGATCTATACTTTTATTTTTTTACTGTTTTTATTTTGTGTTATTGAGCTTGCCTGCTCAGTTTGACCAACTCAATTTTTTTTATTTATAGCATCATTTTACATTCCATAAATGCAATATTGTCTGTAAATCACACCATGTGATAAACTGTTTATTAATCAGTTATGTTTATTCTCTCCACACTTAGATATTTAGATTTATATGCCTTATACTTTAAAGCTTTATTGTTTTTTATTAATACACTTAGCACCAATTTATTTTAATTTTAACAAATGCTTCAGCAACTATTTTATTAAAACTTCTGATCAGCATTTTTACATGGCAATTTATCAATAAGGACTGAAATAATCTTTTTTCAAATTTAAATCTGTACAAATGTAGTAATTATATAATATTAATTTCATTCCCATCATATGTTACAAGAGGTAATACAAGCCTACTGAACAACTTATCATAAAATAATTATCAACTTTGTTGATGTAACTCACCAGCTGATACAATCTTATTAGTCATTGTTACTCATTAGTCACTGATTTTTAACTTATAGCTTTGTTATGGTTTAGATCACATTCTTAAAAGATTAATGAGCAAATGTTTATCTTTGAATTTGTTGCAAAGAAGAGAGGAAAAGCAGGGTGTATTTTAGACATACTTTTCCATTTTTTAGGCATGTTTTGAACTTTATTATATTGTATTTGCTATGTGAGGTTATATGGATTCAGTTATTAGCATTTTTTTCAATACCGTTCTTTACATTTGAAAAATGCACAAGAGCTTTAAACAGCAGTCAGCAAACTGTTAATGGAAGCTGTTATCAGACTGATGCCATATCTTTTGATTCTTTGTTTACAAAACTGGACAACAAAAGTTAATTTGTATTGACTGAATCGTACTGTTTTATATCAACAAAACAGAGTTTTACTGGCTAAACTGAGACATGTTCACAGTGTGTCACTGAACTATGACATTCTCCAACCAAGTTGGCAGTTCTCGTGGCATGCAGAATGTAGTTCATTAAAATGCATCTTAGGTCATGATCAAATTTGCTAAAACTCTTCTCTGCTAGTCTGAAGCTGCTAATAATTAACATCTAGTTTTGTACTTTAAACTTTAAAAAATTGACTTAATTTCTCAGTTACAAATATTTGATGTCTATGTACAACAATATTGTTCAAAATTGCTATATTACTGCACATGTAACGTCACTAGTCTAGGACAATTAAAATTAAAGTGTTGGACACATAGCAGCCAACAGGGTTACACAAAGTTATCTGTGAGCTTGTCTGTGTATACAGACAACAAGCCAATGCCATGACAAATAATGAGATCTGAATTAAGAATTATTTATTTATTGGTAAGAGTGGAAGGACCAAAAAGCAGACATCACGACAGACTTGACAGGGGCTCTAATAAGCCCTCATAAAACTCATTTTATGGCACTTTAGAACATCAGTATGATGTAGCATGTCAAACATGAAGGCATATAAGAATATGGATGAGTACTGGATTGCTTAATAGTTTTGATCATATACATATGGAAATTGACTATGTACTTTTAATATACTGCTAGGGCAAAAGAAAAAGAAAAGAAGAGAAAGAAAAACAAGAAGCAAAAGAAAAAGGAATTATTTTAGGACCAAGCAAAAAGTATTTGAAACAAGTCAAAATGAAGGATTCTTCGTGCAGTATTTGTATTGCTTTTGATGTGTCTCTAGATGAACTAATGACTGAGGCTGTGAGTACATCAATATTAAATTGGTTGAAATTAACAAAGTCCTTTTTGAAGTTCTGCTCATCTCTGCATTACAGAAAGCTGTTACATCTTGTGCACTGCCATATAATTTCTTATGCTGCCCACTTGCCTTGAACAAAACTCCCACCTCTTCACATGTCAGTGTATGCTGTGGTAGCCTATGATGTAATTATCATTAGACTGTAGCCCTCTACTATTAGGATGGGCACACATCCTCCATGTGCAGTAATCCCAATGAGCACAACATATGAACACAGGCTTATTTCTGTTGTCAGCACTTTCAGTGTTCAGACATGTTTTTTCTTGTGTTTCTTTCAAATTTTGAGGGAATTGTGTGACACTTTGGCCTTTTACCTTGAGTTATTTTTCCTTTGTCTCACTAAGTTTGTCTTAGAGTATCTTCTTTGTTGAACTACATTGTCTATTTCATCACCTCATAAACATTAAAAAAAGGCAACCATTGTCAATTCATAGGTTGGTTTAGACCATGAATTCTCAGATCCACATTTCTGTTACTTCCTGAGGTCTCGAGATTCCACTTCAGGACTCTCCTTTTTTTGTTTCACTGGCAATCAGAAGCACTTTATCAACAATGCTACTGTCATTGCACTTCAAGTGGTTGGTACTCTTCTACCTCATTCCTCTATCTTTCATGTCCTCTGTCATTCTGTTTATGTTACTTCTGTTGAGCCTACCTCATTTAATGGTGACTTTTACCAGCTTTTCCCTCCACTGCCTTTGTTCTTGGTTCTTCTATTCCTGGTGAGGAGTAGGTACCTCTGCATTCTTTTTTTTGCAACTCTGGTTATTCAGATATGTGACATTATCTCTCTCTGGTAGTTTTTGATAAATCATGGGTTTCTTTGCTTCATGAGCCTTTGTCTTCTGACTTTCTCTTCTCTCTCCTACTTCGCAGGCATTTTTATTCAAGCTTATGCTTTTCTGTCCCAACTACATGATGATCCATCTCAGCTTCAACCTCCTTGTCTTTGTGACTTTTTTTATGACCTATGGTCATGATCCTTTTATTTTTCTCAAACCTCAATCCTTTGAATCTCTTCTTCCCACTTGGGGTTCCTCCCTTTCTTCTATTTAATCGACTCACTCTCCATCTTACCAATGTACAGCTCCTTTGCTATGTGTCCACTTCATCTTCTCATGAAGCTTTTCCATCTCATCCGCAAAAGTATTGATGAAGACATTTTTTTTCCTACTTGTTTCACACCTTCAACTCAATCTCTTCTACTGCTATGTTTTATTAACATGATTTCTTTGTTTTGGAGATTTGCTTGGTCAGGATTCCTTTCTTTCATCTCGCTTCTTTCCTTTGCGTCAAAGTCTTAGGAAGTGTTCCCAGTTCTTTGAATCTCAGGCTGAAGCTGCTCACTAGCATTCTTCCCTGGATTCTTTGTTTTCCTGATGTATCAGATTGCAGGTGCCCCAACAGATTCCCCATCTTCGAGAGTTTGGAATGCTGCCCCTCTCCTATTGCCCCTTCTCACTGTCCCCATCTCTCTTGTCAGGCTGGCCATCATGGTGCACGGAGATTACTTGTTTAAACTCCATCTTTGTGGGAGGTCATCTGTCCCTATTACCTAAACTCCCTTTGCCAATGATCTTTGGGTCATGCAGGTGTTTTCCACTGGTCTTTCCCTGTGTTTTTGGACTTCCCCTTCCCTTTCTCCTTGTTTGTCTATTTCTCAACCTCCTCCTGTTTCATTCTCCACCCAACTCAGGAATTGGCCTCCTATTCAACCTTCATGAGAGGTTCACTTGCTTTTGAGGATTCTGGATTCCATCAAGTCCCATATCCCTCTTGAGTGCCCATGTGCATTCCTTTCAGTGGATGGACAATCAATGGAACATGTTGTGGGATTTATTATCAGCCTTCATGACTCTCCTTCCATCTCTCTAACTGTTTTTGTTGTGATTGCTCAGTTACTCCAACGAGATTGTAAGTATTCCCCTCCCCTCCTCTTCCTGATCTGCACTTGTAAACATATGCCTCTCTTTCCAGATGGGGCAGTTCTGGACACCTCTATTTTTTAAATGGTTTGGTCTTCAGAGGAGTGGTGCTTTCAGATTAATGTCCTGGAAATTTGACTTCTTATTGGGATTGCTAACATTTTCAGCCTCAGTTCACAGATCATTTGGTGGTGGTCCATTCAGACAGTTTGTAATTTCTTACATCAACTGTGAAGTGGCACATATTCTCAGTACCCATGCTTTCTCATCTAGAATTTCTCTTTTGGATCCATGATCATCGGTTTCAGTTGTTACTCTGTAATGCCCATGGAGCTTTGAACCTGGTGGCAGATTGAATGTCTTGTTTGGATAGGATTCTTTCCATAGAGTAGTCTCACCATCCTTTGATGCTTCAGTGGAATTGTTCCCTGACTGAGGCCTTTGCAACTTCCCCAGTACCAAACTTCTTTTTTTTTTGTTGGTCTCCATTTCCAGACTGCAATTTTGGATTTAAGTTCTCTGATTAGTCTGATCTCTTTCTTTTTGCCTATTCTCCACTTCACCTTTTTCCTCATGTTCTGTTTCTTATTCAGAACACCCCTTGCTTGGTCCTTTTAATTGCTCCACTTTCGCCAGCTAAGCCATGGTTTTCCCTCTTGCTGTACTTGCCATCCAGGGAGCTCTTTGGTGATGTCTTCTCTGCCTACAGACATCTAACTTTCACGATGAGGTGTCACATATTTGGTTTCACTCAGGGGTCTTGTCAGGCCTCTTGAGCATTAATTGGGCTGTACACACAGAGTAGCTCATTTTTGTCTGGTTCTTGCTGACCATCCACACTGGCTCTTTATTTGCACAAATGAATTTTTTTTCTGCCACTAGTCTCTTTGCTTCTCCTTTCTACTGGGTCATCCTACTCTTCTACATCTTCCTCCCTTTTTATCTGGCTTTTTGATAGAGGTTTATTCATGTGAACAATTGCTTGTTATGGAGTGACTTTGTCAACAACTTTCATTTCTTACTTGAACCTTCTTTTCATTCTCTCATTTTGATGGGCCTCTTCAGGCCTTTTTTCATCGGTTATTTTCCTTGCCCTGTCCCTCTTCAGCACTGGAACCTCTGTGCCGTTCTTAATGCTTTCACTAACTTCTGTTTGAACCTTTGACATCATCTCCCAAGTATCATTTGTCCTTGAAGACATATTTTCTCCTTCTTCTTACTTGTGGGAAATGTCACTCAGACATTCATGCACTGGTAACATCCTGAACTATTTATCATAGTGCAGTTGATTTTATTTATGGACTACTCATTTCTCCCAGGAGGGCTATTGTATGTTTTCTACAATCACTTTCTCTTCCATTCCTTTATATGATTGTTCTGACTCTGATCATTTTTTGTTTCCAGTTTGGGCTGTTTGTAAGGTCACTCGAACTGTCACTTACATGAAAACCACTATCACTTCTTCTTGCCATGAGATGCCTTCTCTTCTCCTGACTTTCACCTCTGATGTTGAGTGGGTGGGATTTTCAGCTCATTTGGTTGGTATATTCGTCATTTTATCAAGTTACCTTCTATCAGGTTCATCATCTCATGGCTTCTCTTGCCTCTCATCAAAGTTGTCCCATGAACGAGATTCTACAGCTCAGGATGTGGTTGATATCATATTACTCCCATCATGCAGTGGTTTCTTCATGCTAATGGATTTCACCTACCTTCATTTGCCATCCTGTAGTCTATCCCAAGGCTCTTATGAAGTGAGTAATACCATTTGTTTTTCACTTTTTCATCTGTTTACTCCTGGTCAAAGAAAAATCAGGGAATTTTTAATTTTTTTAAGGTTGGAAAAAGTCGGGGAAATCTAAGATTTTAGAAAAAAATAATTGCCAGGATCAATGTTTTGAAATATGCTGTAAAATACATGACAAAGGAAGTATTCTTCATCTTTGTCATAGTATGTATGGGCCTGTCAACACTTGCTCTCTTCAATGATACAACAATTCAAAGATATGTGACATTCAAAATAAACTGAAAGGGAATTTCAGCCCTTGCCTCCTGAGCTACTTTTTTATGTTACGACAGTAAAATGGTGGTAGATATGTTGTTTTATATTCATACTGTCAATAGAAATTTTGTCTATTTTAAATTTCCAATAACAACTAACATAGCTAACATAATATATATTCATAAAAATGGACTTCTCATGATTTTCTCTATGAAATACAAATACATAATTTCTGCCAGCATGCCCTGTTTAATCTCATTTTTAGCCAGGTACATGTATTAATGAATTTTCTTTTTTTTACAATTGCATTTTCTTTTTAGTGCAAGGAACACTCATAACAGTAGATATATATTGATTTTATAATTGAGAAAATACTAACTAAATGAGTAGCAAATAAATAAGGTTCAATACAGACTGGCTAAGTGACTCAGAATTTTCATCATGGTTAGTAAAGGACCCAGCTTCAGATCTACAGGCACAATGCATGTTATGTGGGAACAGTTTTGAACTAGGAAATATGTGGAAAAGGGCACTTATAAGCCATGCACAAGGAAAAAAATGGTGCAAGACCAAGATGCAGTTAAGTGCTAGAGTTAAACAAGAAATTAGGCACTTTAATTGCTTTCTGGAATAAACCAGTCATCAACTAACTAAGGTGAGATGGAGGTTGAGAAAGATCAGTTGGTTGTACTATAATCACCAGCACAACAGCCATAGCAATCAAGACAAGGGGTCACACTTATCCCATATTTTATGATTACTTGACAAAGTTTTTACAGCAAAAAATTTATGAGCAATGAAAACCATTCTGATTCAGTACTCCTATAGTTCAAGTTCAAACACTGACAGCTGTTTAGAAAGATGTTTCCTGACAGTACTATAGCAAATAGATATTTTTGTAGCACAACAAAATACTCATCTGATTTGTTTTGGATTTGGCATTTATTTTAAAGAAGATTTAATGGATAAAATTCAACAGGCAGGGACAATTTCTGGTGCTTCATTTGATGAGTCACTGAATAAAGTTTTCCAGGAAAAGTAAATGGACTTGTTTCTGCACTTCTGGAACTGAGAAAGGAACGATTGTAAGTAAATATTTTGACGTTAGGATTTGCTTTGAAAGTTTAAGATAGGACTTTGAAAACTAAATCCTGGAAAACTTTTACAAGTTTCAGTCGATGGGCCAAGTATCAACAGGAAGTTACTTGATGTGCAATCAAGAGGAATCTAACTCTGACATTCCAGTGCTTATCAATGTGGGATTCTGTGGACTGCATGTCGTAGATGGAGCTAGTAAGTATAGGTGGAAGATGACAAATATGATGCAGTTCCTCTACTATTGTTTCTCTGATTATCCTGTTAGAAGAGAAGATTATCTAGCTGCTAGTAAGAGGAATGCACAATTTCCTTTGAAGTAGTAACTGACTATAGGATGTACTTTTAGCTGAAAGGAACAGCCAAAGGTCAAGATGTATGTGAAGCAAACCCAGAAATTGCCCAAGAGTAAGCAACTAACATGTCAGAGTATGCACAACATGGTTTGATGCTAGCAAAATCGAATTTCTTTGTGTCAGTTGCCAAAGTGTTGATATCATTACAAATGTTCCAAATAGACAAGCAAATGATGCTATTTTTAGCCAAGGAGCTTCAGAGTATCCTACAAACAGTTCTTTCAGAGTTTACAATGATGTTATTTTTAGCCACAGAGACTTAGCGTATCCTACAAACAGTTTTTTCAAAGTCTACAAAGAACTCAGTGCTTGAAGTAAATGTTCAGAATAATGATAATATTTTGTCTCAATACTAAGTGAAAGTTAGCTTTGCAGTCAAACAACTCATTGACTAAGCATAGCAAGACAATTAAGTTAGTCAACTGCAATTATTTGAATTTTAGAAAGATTGCACTACTTTTCTACAAAACTTGGCTGAGAACCTGCTGGAAAGATAACATCTGTTGTAAGAGCAATGAATGGCTTGGACCAAAGGTTTATTATTAAACACTGACAGAAAGCAATTGCAAAATTTGAACTAATCTTGCAGAAACTTCTTCAGTGCAGATGGTTATAAGCATGCAAATGTAATGATGTATACCAGCAGTTAAAACTTGCTAAGAGAAGTACAAAACTATTTGTTCAGAAGAATTCAAACACTATGGCTACAGGAAATACAGACTTGATGATTTTAATTATGGCATCATGGATCAAAAAACGAGTCCTTCAAAAAATTTTGGAATGCCATCAAAATGCTGTTGATCTTGTTCCATGGTCAGTCAAAGGGGATTCTCAACCAGTGAAGACATTTTGGCTGACATTATGAGTTAAGGAATGCCTTATATAGAAGAATATATGTGGATTTGAAAGAAACAGTATACCTATCACATAGAACATGCTAGATGCATATAGAGGTGCAAGAATGAGGTACCAGCTATATTTGGATGAAGAAGGTTGCTAATGAAAATGGTTTGAGAAAGAAAGACCTTCAAGAGGAGCTAACTGGCTTAAAGTGCTGCTAAAGGTGGCAGATGAATTTGCAAAACAAGTTGAGAAGAAAATGAATATGGACTTTTTGTAAAATCAAATTTTTTGGAGCTAAAATTTTAGAAGAGAACAAGTATATAGTAGAAACAGATAAAAAAAAATAGGGAAGCTTGAGAAGAGCTTTGAAGGGAGGTAACTGTTAGCCGTGTATGCTCTGCTTATATTTGAAACAAGCTTTAAGTTAGACCATTAGAAATCAGTCTAAACTGACTGTTCATTACATATTACTACATGACTAGGTGTTCTGAATTCACATGATTGAATTTTAATATCATGATGTTATATCCTGCTAATAGCTCAAGTATAAACCAGATAGTCAATATTATCTTGGTTTTTGTGACTTTGATTTGAATTTATTGGTCAGGAAAAAGTCAAGGAATTTTGTTTCATCTTCTCTGTGGAAATCCATTCTTAGGTCTTACTGTCCCTTACCCTTGTTTGTGGTGCAAAGAGATGAGTAGCATTTCTGAAGTTAACATTTTTCTTACCTCAAAATGTATTTCAGATAGATATTCACCTCTCTGCACCATATCCCACTCTTCCTTCCCTCTTCTGATGGATTTAGTTTGACTTGTCAAGAATGAGCTGTGTTCCTGCACTAATGCTTGTGGGAATTATTGTGCACAGAGGATGTGTTGTCCTTCTATTGGTGGAGAGATATAGTCTAATAATCATTACATCATAGGCTGGTGCAGTACACATTGATACATTTAGGTGGGAGCTTTGCTTAAAGCTTGTGCCATGTGCAGGAAATTACATGCAGTATGTATGTTGAGGTAACATCTTTTGGTGGTGCAGAGAAGTGAGTATATCTCTATCTGAAATACATTTTTAGGTAAGGAAAAATGTTAACTTTGTTTTCACTGAAACTCTTTGCAGAAATCTGAGCAGCATTGGTTTCTGATATGTTATCATAAGAAATAAAAATTATTACTTTCAATAAATTGAATCATTTTTCAAACAAATTGTCCAAATTATGAACAAGAACTTTTGTTGATAAATAAGTGGTTTAAGCCACAAAATATTTGGACATGTGTCATCTGTTGAAATAATAGTATATCTTTTTATGTGACTTAGAAGAATTTTAATTCAGTAATTGACTGATTTGTGAAACTTTGGTTTGGAAAACAAATATTATACATTTATTTAACTTTGAATTATAAAAAAAAAAAAAAAAAAAATTTTAAACTTTCAAAGCTTAAAAAAGTACACAATTATGTTTACAATATAATCAATTTTTTATTTTCTATGTTTACTTTTCTTAATAACACACAAATTACTTTAATAACCATGCTTCTGTTTGTCAGTGATGTGCTTAACTATGGTTCTAATCTGCTGTATAGAATAAAACATGCATGCAAACTACTGTGAACAAAGTATATGTGCTATTCAGCTGAACATACTATAGTAAAATAACTTTGCATACAAATTTATAGCAGTAGTGTAACATGGATACTTAGAATAATTAAATACAAATAAAAGTATACAGAAATTACAGTGCCTATAGTGAAGAATAATAATACTAAAGTTATTAATAAACTGGGTGTGTGCACTGTAACAACACTGTGTCAATTCACAATTTGAGGACTCGCAGGACAAATGTCTGGAGCATTGTAACCAATATTTTAAATATTTTGTATGCTTCAAAGAAATCGGTTGTTATGTCTTGTTTAAAGTCCTAGGTTTAATGACTACATTAGTATTAATGCATTCAGTAAGGCTTGGTGTTTCATGTATTTTTATTTTCTTTTGTTGATACACTTAAGTATTTACATTTAGAAATTGAATGTGTTTTAGAAATTTCACAGATCCAATGCTAAATACATACACTTTTGTATTGGCCACATATACTTACAAAAGAGACAGAACATTGTTTTAATTGTATTAGTTTTCAGGTTTTTAATTTCATAATCTCTTACAAGATATGTTAGCATAAACATTTTAATTTTCTAGTGAAATAAGTGAGAATTAATGTCCTCTCCCAAACTGTTGTATTACATAGACAATAGATTTTTCCCTTAAACCTGCTATTGCTCTGCCATACATTTGATGAATTAATTCCTGATATAGTATTTGTTGACAAAAATCTCTTGAGTAAATACAGTAATTTTGTGGCAAATGTTTTGTATTAATTTTCAAAATTTGTTTGTGAACTATGAAAACGTAAATCATTCAAAAGTAGAAATGTAAAACGTTTTTAAGATTAAGTACATGCATATTTTTGAAAAATGATCAAACACTTGACTTTCTTTTTCATAATTGAAAAGAAACAATTTTTTTTAATGTATTTCTCAGGAGCGATCAAAATGTTTTAAACAACTCCAACATTGTTACTCAATGAACAGAAGAGCTCCTGCTCCGCTTCAGGTAATTAACCCTTACTTTATATTGCTGCTTTGTTACTCTTTGCCAAGTGTTAGATTTTGGCTATTAGCAAAGTTAAAACTTTTATGCATACTAAAGCTGTAAAGAAGCAGCTCATACATGTACCTGCACTTCATTATAATTCTTGACTACATAAACTACTATCTATCACACACAAGGATACTCATAAGTGTAGAAATGAAAGTTTGAAACAGGTCTAACCCATAATACAACAAATTCAGAAGCAAGTTAAACACACTTTGAAGCTGTTCATATCTGCCATTAAAGTTAAAATCTTCATTGTTAATAGATGATGTATCTGAATAGTTTGGGTTAAGAGTTGCATGTATCTTAGTCACTAGTCTTTTTATGTATGCTAGTGATATAATTTGTTGATTAAAGGGCATTTATATTAAGCAGGGTAGACATTTTATAGCTTTGGCTTTAATGGACTGCTTCTTTGTTCTCAAGTGATACTACATTTTGGCTTCAATATGGAAGCCTGCTTCAGGTCAAAGACAGTTGTTAACTGTTTAGTGCTTTTTGTGTTGATTAGTGCAACCCAGTTATAGAGTTATTTCCTGTTTATTTTTTTCTCTGTGTGAATAGAAATATCTGGAAGCGCGATATCATTCAGTCTTTGTAGTTTGGCAAGAGAGGTAATCCAGAGGTTGCCGATGTAAAAGCTGTGGTTACCGTTGAATGTGGGTTAATGTAATGTGATATAAAATGAATTTTAAATTTTCCTGTTTCTCCAGTGTTTTTCCATTTCTTCATGGGTTGGGGTTGCATATCTAGACACACAAGAGATTTTGGGACATTGGTCTGTTGTGAAGTCATCTCTGCATATCAATCTCTTAGAACTGCTAATTGTTCAGTGGGCTTTAGTCCATTTTCTTCCATCACTCCAGAATCAATTGGTTATGATCCATTCTGACAACTCAACAGTTGTCTCGTACATTAACAGCAAGAGGGCACTAGGTCAAGGTCTCCTTGTTTCCACATGTTGGACCTCTTGTTTTGATATATGGCATGTCATATACCAGGTACCCTGAATTTGGCTGCAGATCATTTATTGTGGCCCAACAAGATTCTCCCTGCAGAGTGGACCCTTGACCCACAGGTGTTTAGTTGGCTGTGTTCCCAGTTAGATACACTAGAAGTGGATGCATTCACCACCCACCTGAATTCCAAGCTTCCCAGGTTTTGGTCTCCTATTCCTCATCCTTTGGCTGTAGCTGTTGATGCCCTCAGTCAGTATTGGGGAGCCATTACCTCTTTGCCTATTCTCCCATCTGTTTTCTTCATCATGTCCTCACAGTCATACAAGCAACTCCATGTTGAGTCCTCTTGGTGTCACCACTTCTGTGCCTGTTCCTACTGACATCTTCTTTTCCTCTAACCCACTAACCTACTCTCCTCACACAACCTCAGTTGGGCTTGCAACACCCTTCCCTTCCAACACAATGTCTTAATGCGTGGCTTTTGTCTGGTCCTTTGCCAGACTTTCCCCACTTGTTGCAACCATGATTTACCATTCTGTTCATCCTTCCTCCATGTCAGTTTACAAACATAAGTGGTTTGTCTAGTGCAGTTGGTCTTGTCATCACGGTTTTTTTCCTCCTTCCCATCTTATTCTCCCATACTTGAATTCCTTCTTTACCTGGCTTTTTGACAAGGGACTGTTGGTATCCACTATTACTGGCTATTATGCAGCATAGTCAGTCACTTTCTGTTTCACAAGATTTTGCTATATCTTCACTTTTCTAGTCCTCACCATTTTGTTTTATTCCTTATGCCTTCATTATCCTCCACATCCTACTGCCCTCCCTGATTGGAACCCTAATGTTGTCCTCCATCCCCTCACTCTCTCCCCCCTCCCCCCACCTTTGAGCCTATGTCATCCTGTTCCTTATATCATCTCTCCTTAAAGACCTTTTTCCTCCTCCTCTTGGTGTGTGAACAGTGACATTTGAGTTTGTTCTCTCTTTCTTGCACATTATATCACAGGACCTATGCTATCCTCCACCTGGATTTGTTTTTTCTGCCCAAAACTTCTGCTTCATGTTAGGGCAAATTTGCCTTCACTCCCATTTCTCACCTTTATCCTCATTCCAATCTGGATCGCTTCTTATGTCCTGTTCGGTCTTTCTACTATTACATTGCTCACACTTCCAATTCTCCTCCCATCAAATCCATCACCTTATCATGTCCCTGGCTGCCTGATTCCATCCTCCTCTATAGGATATAGTTCATGTCAGCATGTGAATCACTTTCAATACATTTATCTTACACTATCTTCATCATCTGCTCTACAGTTTCTCTATGAGTTAGTATGTGCTCTTTTTATAATACTCTTTTTTTACAGGGGCCTTTCTCGCATGTATGGATCCCACTCAGTGGTAAGTGGTGCCTGACCAGGTATACGTATTCTTAAACCTGAACTGTATGACAATTCAGGTTAATAATGCCCACTGTTGAGATATGGTGTTCTGCAAGACCACTTGTAGGTTTTTCCTCATGGTGTTTTGCATCATAAATATGTTAGCCCTGAACCTTACTCTCATGGACTAACATGAGTAAAGCAGAAGGGGATTTCTGCCCATCCCTGCCACTCCTTGGTTTGGCTATATCAAGAATGGTTTGCTTTTTAAAATAAGTTTCCTCAGTCACCCATTGCAGTCTCTCTGGTGTCACAGTCTTCTGGACTCTTCAGCACATTCCCACACTCGCATGCTTCCAGTGGAGTGTAAAAGCCCTTACCATTTACCAGCTTGGTTGAGAGTAGGGCAGTGGTATTCTACTAGTATAGACACTCCTTCTATCATGGACCTGATGTTTTATTCCAGATGCCACTTAGGTATAGACTGGATGATTTCTGCCAGAATACAGTTCACTCCTCTGGCCGAGCACCCTCCTTCCTACTGTTGCCCATATGTCAGTTCCCGGGGAGTACTGGTATTGGTTGGAGCTGGACCAGCCACACAAGTCCTCACATGTGAGTGCCCATGTACCATCCTTCTACCGCAGACTGGTTCTGGACTGGAGTTGAACCAACACGTTTTGTCCACCTCCTTACCATTGTCCAGATGTCTGTTCCTGGGGTTACAGATGTTGATTGTGTTGGACATGCACACATGATTATATGGGTCCTTGAACAGAAATTCTTCTTCTCTTCCCCTATCTGAAGGGAATGGTAGAGGACCCTCTTTCTACCATAGGCTGGGTATATCTATCACAGTACAGTTGGTATTTGTTGATGTTGAACTCCTCCTTATGGTCCCCTGCATCTTAGCCACTCTACACCAGGGGTCCCTTAATTTAATTTGGGGTCCCTCCTGAGTTTCCACCCTAATTGCAACACTTCATTTTCACAGATGAAGAGTATACCTGACTCAGAAGTGGTGCAATTTCCCATGGATGTGTCCTACATACTCTTTATTCACACACCCAATAGGCTTCCTTTGGGTGCTTTCTGAAGGGAGTTCTTATAGGTATTTACACAAGTCCCTCCACCAGGTTAATATGAGATTCTACTTATCATGGAGAAGAGGTAAGCTATCGTATCAGAAGTTAACATTTTCCTTCATTAAAAATATATTTTTGATCGGTTCTTACCTCCTCTCTATTTCTGGTGTCTTTTTTCTGTTGCACAATCTCGAAGTGAAGTTGATCTAAGCTGCATAGAGGAAGTCAGCTGTGGTAGTACTTGTGTCTCACTCTTATTGGTGGAGTATTGTCACATGCTCATTTTCATGCTATCACGCAGCTGCCTCACATGAAAACATTTAAGTGTAGGTGAGAGTATCAAGGCTAGTGGTGAGCTAAAATTTGCTCATATAGAGGGCAGTACAAGTCACAACAAACTATTATGTGATTGGAGATAAGAATCTATTGGAAATACATTTTCACTGTTAACTTTAGGGCTATCTAATGAAGTAACTTTGGTTTTGTGTTGTTGGAAATTGTTTTCTGCAGACTGAGATGAAACTAGTAGGCTGGGTAACCATTGTTTCTAAAAATGTTTTCTGTGAAATTAAGCTGTTGTTGAGTTTCAACTAATGTGCATTTCTGTAATTGGCAACATGTGATTTACTTTACCTTTAAATATGGTTGCACCACTTGAATAATAACATGCTGATACCTCTGAACCAGAATTTAGATGTATGGGTAGTTTTGATCCACCACTTTCTTACTTTTGGCATGCTAAGAAAGGACTATCTTCAGATTTAAAGGATTAACCCTTTAGCTACTACTGACAAGTCAATTTTTAACAGCTAAAACCATCTGGCTATTACTCCCATCAACTGTCACAAGCAAAATCTGTATTGTGACCAAATCTCAGAGTTGTGGACCAGTTTTTCCTGGTGAATTGTTCTATTAAACCTGTGGTATTACATGTTTTTACATTTATTTGCAGTTATATCTACAATAAATGAGATTTAATTTGGCACTTAAAGCACTGATGAAGAAAAGGTGATTGTAAAAGCAGCTGCATAAAGTTTCATGAAAGGAATAACTACAAAGAAAGACATGGAAGCCAAAGCTCACAAGATGAAAATGCCTGAATAAATTAATTAACTGAAAAATACTGTTTTCACAAAATGAGAATCAAACAAAAGACAAGAGCTAAGGTGGAATACACTATACAAGTCTGAATGCAAACATAACTTTTAACATAATTGAATTAACAGAAGGCATAACAAACTAGTGATTATGTAAGGTAGGACATTTTTAAGATACTGGTGTTGAAGCAATCAATAGTGGACTGCTGCAGACAATTAAAAGTCTAAATAGATAGGAATTTTGATACTTTAGAATTAAAATTATGCTAGCTTAGATCTGCTATGAAGTATATCTTAACTTTTTGCTTTTTTGTCTTCAACTGTGAACTTAAATTTAATTGCAATTAACCAATTAGATAGCACTTGAATCTACTTAACTGACAGACAAATTCTTAAAATAAGCAGAATGAAAGATATCAAAAATACAAATCAAAATAT